TATTTGTAAATTCAGTTTATACATAATTTCTATCTTATATCATTCCGTCATTCTTTTGCAGGTGTGCGTCGCGACATAAAACCCGACACTATTAATCAAATGCATGCAGAACGAAATTTAAAAAAAAATCCCGCTTTCGTGCATTTATAAGTTTTTCCTTCGTTCTGTGGCATGAATTATGCTACTTTAATTACCATACAGGTTAGAGTACCGTCGCACGATCGACCGATCGATGCGTGAACTTTAATGACACCCAAGCCTGCTCACCTTTAATTCACTTAGATTACTCGATGGGTGAAAGAATAGCCATCAATTAGTGGCCTGCTCGATATTAACGAACAACTGTCAACATACTTTGATCCGGTTTAAACCGTCGCGTAATTATCGGATTATTTGTATTAGGAATAATAGCGTCATTGGTTCCGCTGCAGTAATTATCTTTGTTCTTTACTTGGAACGTACACGTGCCCTCGTGCATTATAGCCAGTTGTTGTCTTAATCCCACTCACGAAAAAGATAGCCTGCAGATCGACTACCTTCTTAATTTCCTCTTTCTAATTTCTTTTTTATTAATTCCGCGTGTCTTTAATAATTGGCGTGCGCACAATCAAAATGATTATTATAAGTCAATGGGAATTGTTAATATCTTCCTTTCAAAATGAAGATTAATTGATGGACAATACATAGATTCTCTGTATGCATGCAACAGTTTCAGTTTCCGTTCGAGTTCGCCTCGTATAGGTCAAAAACATGACAGGGACATCATGTTAATTAGTAATGTCAATTAGATAATTTATGATGATTTATTGATTAGAACGTCCAAAAGAATTCTGAATTAATACAGAGATGTCAATATTGGTTACTTAAGAATTGTTTGGTATTTCAAATATAATTCGACAGCTTTTTAATACGTTTCACCAGCTATTAATGAAGTACTTTTGTATTGTGCACACTGACATACCGAGGAAAATGGACCGGTTTCCAATTTGTACAACCACCCCTGTAGAATTTATTTGTAATTGTGCAGGATCATTCGGGCAAAGCAAGAGAGTATAATCCTCGACCTCAAGACTCCACCCCCAGAGTTGCTCGTTTGGTCTAGGATCATGCGCATACAATAAAAATGCCAAGATCGTTTTCCTCTCATTTATTAATCACAATTTGGTTATTGCGTTTACTACTGTAATGAACTTTACTAGTAACTACTTTTCACAATCTACTGACAACGTTACGTGAACGGCATGGAAATTGTTGTATGGCGTTAGAGCCTCAGGAAGCAGGAAACAGAAAATTACAGTTCTTCTCAGGTTTACTCGTATACCTAGATCGCGGTGGAGCTTTATTCGGTAAACCTAGGAAGTTTTTCGTGAAATTACCGACGACACAAACTCGGTAAGGATAGCGAGCTTTCACGAGGGGTAGCGAGCTTTCGCGAGGGGTAGCTTTTCCGCGTGTAGGTAAAGCAGACTGTACCTCATAATGATAACCTGCCCCACTATCGCTGACTGATAACGGAATGTACTGACACAGGCTGAGTGTGATAATATCCCATCCGAGCTTGCAAGCTCTTTTACCATTTTCACGTCGGTACTTATGTTACTGATGCAACATAGAACGAGCTAACTACCATTGGAAAAAACAAACTCGTTTTTGTCGTACTTCAATTAAATTTTACCTGAGCTTAATTAAATTTTACATGAGCTTAATCCAATTTAGTTAGAATATAAATCTTGTTGACCAATCCGAGTAATATCTTACAATTTTATTCAATTCGTTCGAATTGATTAAATTCAATCAGTCCTCTCTTAATTAAATCAGTTAATTAATTCAATAATATATAACAGTTTCTAGAGTTGGAAATATTCATGCAACAGATTGTTGTATGACTGAACGGTTCGCAAGCACGTGCAAGTATAATTAAATGTTGACCCAAATTTGAGTATGAGTAGAATAAATAATTTAACCACGCATTAAAATCATGAAACACGGTAGCGATTTATTCGTGCTTATTGTTCAAGCTTCTTTCAAATATTTATCGATGTGTCGAACATTGCGAATGCAAATGCTCAAACGACTAATTGATTTGAAATGTTCTCCTTTATATATTGATGTTTTTCCGTTTTCTTCGTTTTTCGACTAACAATCAATAAATCTTGATTGCTTAAATCCAAGAAAATTCAATCAAGGCGAGAGAAAAATGAACGAAAATACGTTGCGATACGGTATGTATAGTTTAACGAAATTCCTTATCTCTTATATTGCGCCTGCCTGTCCGCACGCGAAATGCGAGAACCCTCGGTGCCGAGCTAGCCGGGAACGTAGAATCCCGAATTCAGATCGATACACCGCTTCACGACAGCTGATAGATATCGCGTTTTTCAGAAAGCGGCATAACGCAGAGCGGATCGCAAAAAAAAAAACAGTGCATTTTTATTCTCCCCGTAGGCGGGCGGAGGTCCGCGAATTTTTATTATCTCCGATTCGCACGATGGCCCAATTTTCGATATTGCCTTTTAATAACTTTAACTGCGCGTGTAACCGGTCGAGAGGACTTTCTCGAAAGAATAAAACATTTAAATCTTATACTTGGAATTTTTGTTCCAAAATGCCATAGGATTAAACGATTTTCAGTGAAAGAATTAAAACGTATGCTTTATATTGCCTGAAAAAAGCGAAACATAGCGCATAGTGCATGCATATTCATACCTCCAGTTGTATTTTTTTCAGAGGACTATCGGTTACAGATCTCTGTTGCGTCTTGTGAAACTTGTAGTGTCAAACCGCTACGCTTTCAGGTAGATATTAATAAAGAATGACTAAAACAGAAGTGGATGGCACGTATCGGTATCGCGTACCTACATAGGGAACGTTTATTATCTGATGTAACTCTTTTTATTGCCGTACGATTCGGATCGTAATACTGTTCCTATAGTAATACGTTTTCGGTTTCTTGATGGCACGTACCAATTTTACGGTCACGTTCCACAGGCCAACAAAAATGATTAAAAGATCAAATGACTTTGATGTCAAGTTGAGTAGATCGTAGAATAGAATGCTGTATATCGAATTTTATTTAATAGATAAGAAACGAAACTTCCTCAGGCATAGACAACGCAATAATAATTACTACTTCTTAGTAGGCGTCATAATTATTCGCAGAGA